GGTCAACCATGGTTCAAGTCCCAGACCTGGTGGCTTGCTTTCTCAATTTCCTGCTCTCTTTTGCTCTGTTCCTCTCTGGTTGAATTAAAACTTAAGTTAAAAAAAAAAAAAAAGTTAAATAAAATAATTATTTTAAAAAAATAGTAATAATTGGTTTGGGGCTTGCAGATGGCGTGGTGGTTAAAGGCACTGGACTCCCACATAAGTGACCACGGTTGGAGTCCTGGACTTGGCAGCTTGCTTCCCCACTTTCTCTTTCTCTCTCTCTCATTCTCTCTCTGGTCAAACTGAAATAAGTAAATAAAGATAGATAGACAGATAAATTAAATTAAATAATTCTTTAAAAATAAATAAATAAATAACGAGGCCAGCAGACGGCGTAGCAGCTACAACGCTGGACTCGCACATAGCCTACTGCGGTTCAAGCCCTGGGCCCAGTGGCTTCAAAATCACACTAGGAGCGTGTGTGTGCACGCCCAAGATCCCTTGGAAGAGAAAGGATTGCGGAGTGGCCATACCCCCCAGGGGGCGATTTCTCACTTTCCCTCTGATTGCAACTGTCTGTCATTCTCTCTGAGATAAAAACCTCTAAATAATAATAACAAATAAAGTTAAATAAGTCATTCCAAAGGTGGAGGCTGAATAATGTGGTTCAAAGGTCTGTGTGGCTGAGGGCCTGGCCGGTGGTGTAGCAGTAACACCCGATGCTCAGGCCAGCAGGTGGCATGGAGGTCGAGACACTGGACTCCCACACAACCAACTATGCGGTTCGAGTCCCAGGCCCCGTGGCCTGAGAATCACGCTGGGCACGTGTGTGTGCGTGCCCCAGATTCCAGGAGAATGGAGAAGACAGGGCTGTGCTGTGACCATTTCCACTGAGGTCGATTCTCATTTTCTCTCTGTCTCTGTCCAGCAAGCACACATGTCCTATAGCTAAACACACACACACATACATGCACACACACACACACACACATGCACATGCAAGACTGACCCACACGGGAAGGTTCCAGGTTCCCATCCCGAGACCCTCCTGGTGCACCAGGCATATGTACCACCATAGGACTGGGTCACAGGGTCAAGACTCTGGTAAGGGTGCTGTCTCTCTCACTCATGGGGAAAAAAATTAAAATGAACAAATAAAAGCCCAGCTGATTGTTAATAAAAGGCCCCTCATTCTGTCCCTGTAACCCCCTCAGGTTGGGCCAGAAGCAGCGGAAAGACCACAGACTTCCAGAGCTGCTCGGCTCTTTATTGCCCTCTTCACCTCATCTTCCTGGAACATGTGGAAAAATATCAGGACAAAAAACTTAAATAAATAAAGGAAAAAAGATCCCAAAACAAGCCTCCAAGAGGAACAGCAGCTCACGCTGACCTGTGTGTCCCTACCCTTGTCTGTCCCCTGAGCACTGAGACTTAGGTCCCAGGTTCCTCTGGCACCACCCACCCTCATGGTATTAGGGATCTTAACCCAGTTCACAGAAAACAGGAGAGAAACTATGCACGGATTTCAAAACCTTTTCACCAAAATAAACTTGTGCCCTTTCCTCTTATTTACACGTGAGAGAGAGAGACAGAGAGAAAGGAGCTCCCTCCACAGGGTCTGGGCACCCTGCACGCCCCTTCCTCCAGTCCTCCGGCCCGGTGCATCTCAAACAGTCACACGCGTGCCCTGAGTTTCAGACTGCCCAGGCCAGGGATTCGAATCCTGGGTGCCACGTGGGCTCTGGCTTCTCCTAAGCAGCACATAACTACCATGCCACAGACTTGGCCTCCAAAATAAACTCACACTTTTTTTTTTTTTTGGAGAGGTTTTCACTATAGGGCGTGTGCGCTCGCCAGACAGAGAGAGACATAGAGATAGAAAGCGAGAAATCACCCCTCAGGGGGGATGGTCACGCCACAATCCCTTCTCCTCCATTCTCCTCTCAAGATCTTGGGCACGCACGCACACGCACCCAGCGTGAGTTCTAAGCCACCGGGTCCGGGACATGAACCGCGGTTGACTTCGTGGGAGTCCAGTGACATAGCCATTACGCTAACTGCTGGTTCCCAATAAATTCGCACTTTTGAAACCCTCCTAAACTCTGCTCGCCTGGGGTCCTCCCCTCCTCTCCGTTCCCACCAAGCTGCCCTCCCATCTGTCCTTGGGCACAGCGATGTCCTTGAACCCAAACCTACCCCCGCCCCTGGGAGCCCCTGGGCAGCAACTGCAGACACCCCCTCCCCCCTCCGCCCCCCCTTCGGGTCAGGTGACTTCATCGCTTGTTCTGGTCTTCACCAGATCCCAGCCCAAGCCTCACTTCCTCAAGGGAGTTCCCCCAACCTCTCCCCTCAGCGACTTGTGGGCCCCGTCCGGACAAAGGCAGGGTTTGGTGGTTCACTCTGCCCTGCCCCGAGACCCACAGCCCACAGTGCCCGGGGCGGTAGCGGCTGCTCTTGCAGGCTCTACCCCCAGAACCAACAACTGTGCAAGATGCTTTTGCAGGAGGCGAGGAGAGCCCCGCCTGGACTCTAGAAATCAACTCTGGTTTCCGGGCTCCTTGGAAAGGGCGATGTTTCCCCAGGGACGGGGCAGGGGGGCCTTCAACTCTCTGGGGCTGAGGAGAGGACACAAATGTCCCGACTGATGTGGCATCAGGGAAGTTGCCGGGGAAGGGGGCATCCCAGGGGACTTCCAGGATTTAGCAAGAGCATCCTTCGAAAAAGAAAAAAAAAAAACCTTCCCTGGGGCCGGCCCTGCAGCTCAGCGTAGAGAAAGACAGATCCCCCAGGGCTGACTGCCGCCCCCACGCTACAGTTCGAATCTCCTGCCCAGTGCTAGTGCACAAGTGCCCAAATCCTGATGGGGCAGGAAAAAGGCTGCAGCATGACTGTGCCCACCGGGGGTGCTTTCTCCCCCCGCTCTTGCTCTTTCTGGTGAGTGCGTGCGTTCTCCGGCAATTCAAGAAAGAAGAAAACACCTTCTGAAGAGTCAGTTCTTCTTTTTCTTTTTCTTTTTTTTTTTTTTTTTTGGAGAGGTTTTTGCTATAGGGAGTGTGCGCTCGCCAGAAAGACAGAGAGAGACAGAGAGATAGAAAGCGAGATATCAGCCCCAGGGGGGGATGCCCACGCCGCAATCCCTTCTCCTCCATTCTCCTCTCGGGATCTTGGGCACACATGCACACGTACCCGGCGTGAGTTTAAGCCACCGGGTCCAGGACTCGAACCGCGGTTGACTACATGGGAGTCCAGTGACATAGCCATTATGCCAACTACTGGTCCCCTTTTTCTTTTCTTTTTTTTAAATTTTATTTTATACCAGAGAGAGTGCTCTGTGCATGGCTGGGTCAAGAGCACGAGAGAGAGAGAGAGAGACAGAGAGAGACAGAGAAAGAGAGAACCCCCCCCCGACCATGCAGTAGTTCTTTCTCCTCTAGTTCACCATCCCATCTGAGGGAGAGGGAGAGAGAAAGCACCCCCAAAGGGACATGGTCACACTGCAATCCCTTCTCCTCCATTTCTCTATCTTGTCAGGATCTGAGGCATACACCCATGTGTGCGCGTGTACACACACAAACACACACACACATGCACGTACACACCTGGCTTGTTTAGCAAGCCACTGGGGCTGGGACTCAAACCATGGTCGGCCATGTGAACTCACCACTGTGCTATGGGGCTGCTACCATCCTGGGTTTTTCAGGCTGCCAGGGTTTGGGCCCTGACCACCACATGGGTCCTGGCTTCCTCTGTGCAGCAGTGAACTGCACTGCGATGGGCTCAGTCCAGGGAGTCCTTTCCGATCCTCCTCCTTCCTCCACACGTGCAAGCCTGGGACCAGCCCCTGGGAGCATCTTTTCCTGTCCGCCTCCCTCAGCCCCCACTGCCCAGCCAGAGCCCTCACACCTGGCTCCGGCTCCCTTCCACCGGAGGCTCCGTGCCCGCCGTAACGATCAGACCTGTCTCTCATGGGGTAGGAAACCTCTAACAGCTCCCAGCAGCTCTGCGGGTGAAGTTCAACCTCCTCGCCTCTGCCTGGGAGGCCTAGGCAGTCAGCCCAGGCGGCTTCCTGCTTCCACGAGGGTTGGTCGCTCACGCGTCTGCCTGCCCTCGGCAGCCTCTTTTCCGTTTCTGGGACATGCTGGGCTCCAGCTTGTGCATATGCTGTCCCCCCTGCAATGCTGTTCCCTCGGCTTGTACATCCATTCCACTGCTTTGCCTACAGGTGGCTCTTCCTACCCTTCCTTGTCTCACATGGCCACTGTGTCCTCGCCTCCAAGCCACTACCTCCTGCCTGGAGGTCTGCAGTCCCCTCCACTGAGGTCGCTCAGCTTCCATACACAGGCTCTTTTGCAGCCAGAGAGAGCCTATGGAAACCCAGGCCGATCGTACCTCCGCTGTGCAGAACCTGCCATGGGGCTGTTCTCCCAGGGCAGAAGCTGAAGTCGTACCATGGTCTATGAGGCCATCTGTGCTGTCTCCATCACCTCCTTGACCATCTCCTCCTGTTCCCCCATTCACATGTCTCTAGTCACACGGATGACGCCCCTCCCAGTCCTCATGCTCCAGGTGAGCCCTGCCTCAGGGCCTTTGCACTCGCTGTTCCCCCTGCCCCAAACTCTCTTCTCTTGGATTCCTGCAGGGCTCCCTCCCCTGTTCCTAGATTTTTCTCCAGAACACAGCCAAGACCTCCCCAGCACACAGAAAAGCCCAAGGAGCAGAGCGGGAAGCCAGCTCAGCAGGGAGAAGCAGAGCTGTACTGCAACCGTCCCACATGCCCCGCCCTGCTCACCTATGGCTCTGAGCCAGGTCACCTCCCGGACGGGCCCCTTGGGGAAGGTGGCAAACTCGCACGAGTAGTTGCCCTCATCCTCCACCGTCAGCCCCCGCAGGGCCAGCGTGGCGTCCCGCAGCTCTGTCTCTGTGTCTTGCCGGGCTCCGGTGTTCTGGCCAGTGGTGACAAAGGACAGCCGCTCCTTGCCGGGCCGCGGGCTGGGGAAGCTGGGACCGTACGAAGGGTGGAAGACAGCCACGCTCTCGCTGCCCCCGGCTGCATCCAGGCGCTGCCAGGTCACCTGTGAGACACGCACTTCTGGGGCAGGTGGCAGCAGGTGGCACGGCAGCTCCACGGTGGCCCCCAGTTGGCCCCGAACCTCAGGGAGCACCAAAACTCGCACATCCTGAGCTCCTGGGGAGAGAGCAGAGAGAGAGGTCAGGTGAGAAGGGTGCCAGGGCCCTCCAGGCCAAGCAGGGTCCTCGCTGAGAGACCGGGGAAATGCCAGCCTCAAATGCAATGGAAGGGGACTTCCCAGGGTCCCAATTCCAAAAAAGTCGGCGAGAGAAGGCCTTCGGGGAAAAAACTAAGGAAATTTGAACCCAGACTAGATTACATATCATGGAATTACAGTTAATTTTTATCTATCTATTATTTATCTGTCTGTCTATCTATCTAATTATCTATCTATCATGTGTACTTGCTAGAGAGAGAGAGAAAGAGACAATGAGAAAAAGAGGGTTAAGTGAGAAAGCACCGCCTGGGATGGGGGGATGGCCACACCGCAATCCCTTCTCCTCTATTCGCCTTGGGATTTTGGACATGCACGCACACATGCCCACAGGTTTCTCAAGCCACTGGGTACAGGATGTGAACCACAGTTGGCCATGTGGGATTGAGCTGCCTCAACCTCCACACCACCTTCCGATCCCATAGCTAATAGTCTTAGCTAAGATAATTAACTTGTGATATGTGGAATATCTTTTTCTTTTCTTTTCTTTTTTTTTTTCTTTTTTTTTTGAAGAGGTTTTTGCTATAGGGCACGTGTGCTCGCCAGACACAGAGAGAGAGAGACAGAAAGCTAGAAATCACCCTCCAAGGGGGATGGCCATGCTGCAATCCCTTCTCCGTTCCCCTCTCGGGATCTTGGACACCCATGCACACACGCCCGGCGTGAGTTTAAGCCACCGGGTCCGGGACTCGAACCGCGGTTGACTATGTGGGAGTCCAGCGACATAGCCATTACACTAACTGCTGGTCCCTGCAATGTAGTCTTGGCTCAGCGAAAAGCAAGCAGTGTCACCACTGTCAAGTTTAGGGTGGGAGGATGGGGGGCTCCCAGGCCATTCTTGCAACTTAAATCTTTCTGTTTAAATTTTTCATTATAGGGCTGGCCCAGCAGCCAGAGGTTCAGGGAACTGGATCTCACATGGCTGATGGCAGTTCAAATCTGACCCTGGTGACTCGAAAACCATGTGGGCAATCTGCACGTGTGTGCCCCAAATTCCGATGGGATGGAGAAACAGCGAAGCATGACACTGTCTGTCCATTGTGGGGTGTCTCTCTCTCTCTCTCTGCCTCTCTCTGGCAAACATATTCATCCTCTGATGATTAAAAATATGGGTAACAAGAACTAGCAGATGGTGTAATGGTCACATCTCTACATGGTCAACGGTGGTTCAAGTCTCAGACCCGGCAGCCTGAAAAATCACACTGGGCACATGTGTGTGCATGCCCAAAATCCTGAGAGGAGAATGGAAAAGAGATTGTGGCGTGGCCATCCTCCCTGGGGCTGATTTCTCACTTTCTGTCTCTGTCTCTCCAGCGAGCACACATGCCCTATAGCAAAAATCTATCTTAGAAAAGGGGGGGGGCAAATCTCCTGGAAATAAATAAATAAAAAGTTATATCTATGACAAAATAATAGCAAAGGTTTATTTACTTATTTGATTCCATTCGTTATTATTTGTTAAATTTGACCACAGTGAGAGAGAAAGGAAAAGCAAGAAAGCAAACCGTCAGATCTGGGACTCAAACTGCGGTTGGCCATGTGGGAATCCAGAGCCTTTAACCATCGCACCACCTGCTGGCCCCGCAAAATAAATTTTTTTGTTTGGAGAAGTTTTTGTTACAGGGTATGCATGCTCACTAGTCAGACAGAGAGAGAAAGAGAGACAAAAAGCAAGAAATCACCCCCTAGAGGAGATGGCCACGCCACAATCCCTTCTCCTCCATTCTCCTCTCAGGATCTTGGGCATGCACGCACACGCGCCCAGTGTGAGTTTTAAGCCACCAGGTCCGGGACTCAAACTATGGTCGACTACGTTGGAGTCCAGCGACATAGCCATTACGCTAACTGCTGGTCCCTAAATTTTACATGAAAACGTGAGGTCAGCCCATGGCCTAGTGGTTAAGGGAACCATACCCTGCATGGCTGACCATGGGGTTTGAATCCTGGCCTCAGTGGCTTGAAAAATGCTGGGCGCCATGTGGGTGTGAGCCCTAAATCCCAACAGAATGGAGAAGTGGGGGAGAGGAGACTGTGTGGTGTGACCGTTCCCCACGAGGGGCGTTTTCTCCTTCTCCCTCTCTTTGTCTTTCTGTCTCTGTCTCTCTTTAGCAAGCACATGCACCCTCTGGCATAATAAAAGAAAATTTAAATAAAGTGTCAGGATAGTCTTAAACCCTCTCCCCTCAGCTTTTTAGAAAACGGTTCTCTTGCTTTTTTTTTAATTAGGTTTTTATCATAAGGTTCATGCATTCTCCGAGGAGAGACAGCGAGAGGGACAGGGAGAAATCACCCCATGGTGGGGTGGCTATACTGCAATCCCTTCTCCATTTTCCTCCTGGGATTTTTGTGTGTATGCACATGTGTCCAGTGTGATTTTCAAGTCACCAGGTCTGGGACTTGAACTATGGTTGGCCATGTAGAAGTCTCCTGCTGGCCCTTCACTTTTCTAGAAAACCTTTCTGCCTATTGGGAACCAGCAGTTAGCGCAATGGCTATGTCGCTGGACTCCCACCATAAACAAACACATACATATATGTGTGTATATGTATTTATGAAGAAATGGGACAGTTTCTACAACAGCTGCTTTGCACCTTTTGCCCATCATGAATATATTTACATTTAAATATATAAAGAACTTCCTCATTTTTTCTAGTGGCTCCCAAATATCTCATCATAGGGTTTCTTTGGGGGGTAATGAATAGTTTTGTTTGTTTTTTTTTTTTTTTTTTGGAGAGGTTTTTGCTACAGGGCTTGTGCGCTCACCAGAAAGACAGAAAGACACCGAGAGACAGAAAGCAAGAAATCACCCCGGGGGTGGGGGGGATGGCCACACCACAATCCCTTCTCCTCCATTCTCCTCTTGGGATCTTGGGCACGCACGTACATGCACTCGGTGTAAGTTTAAGCCACCGAATTCGGGACTCGAACCATGGTCGACTACATGAGAGTCCAGCGACATAGCCATTACGTTAACTGCCGGTCCCCAACTTTGTTTATTTTATTTATTCTAATTTGACCAGAGGGTGGAGAGAGAGAGAGAGAAAGAGAGAAAGCAAGCTGCCAGGTCTGAGACTTGAACTGCAGTTGACTATGTGGGAGTCCAGTGCTCTTAACCACCATGCCACCTGTTGGCCCTCATTACTATTATTATTTTTGAACAGCATTATTAAGGTATATATTCCCATACCACAGGGTCACAGGGTGGGGTGGTGGTTAGTGCAGCCTGGCTCTACATGGTCAACAGCATGGTTTGAATCCTGGACCAAGAGGCTTGAAAAGGCCATGTGCATGCCGGTCCGAAATTCCAAGAGGCTCATGGAGAAGGGACTGTGGTGTGGCCACTCCCCAGGGGTGACTTCTCACTTTCCCTCTCTTCACTTCTCTCTCTGCCCAGTGAGTACATGTGCCCTATAGCGAAACTTAAAAATAAATAAATAAATAATTTGGGGGGAAAAAATGAAAACAGGAACCAGGGAGAATGGTTTTCTGCTGGGCAAATCAGGACAGCATGGTGACCAAGGGCACAGACTCAGGGGGTCCCAATCCTAGTTCTGCCACTCACTGGCTATGTGACCTTGTGCAAGTCACTTAACCTCCCGGTGCCTGAGTTTCTGCAGCTATAAAGGAGGATAATAACAGTGGTCTCCTGAGTTGTTACAAGGATCAAAGGATGTTTGTAGAGCACTTAACACCGGCCACAGGAAACTCACCTCAGTGCTTGGTAAGTAAACCCAGCAAGGTCAGGGTAATTACGAGGGACCCTTGACACTCAGCCCGAGGGGAGGAGAGGCCAGGAGACCTGCCCTATTCAAAGGGGCAAGTGGGATGAACACAAGACAGTGATCCGGGGTGGGCTGGGGCTGGGGCAGGAACCAGGACCTGTTCCGGTGTCTGGATTGCACAAGTGTGCGCTATCTCTGTTTCTCTGTCTCCTACTCATGGAAAAAATAAATAAATGAACTTAAAAAAACAAAAATAGATCCAGCAGGAGGTGTGGGGGTTAAGACGGCTGGATTCCATGTGGCTGATTTTGTAGTTTGAGTCCCGGGCTCGGTGGCTTGAAAATCACACCAGGTGTGTGTGTGTGTGTGTGTGTGTGTGTGTGCGTGGATGCCCAAATTGCCGAGAGGAGAGTGGAGGAGAAGGGACTGCAGCATGGCCACCGCCCCACCCCGGCGGAGGATTTCTCACTTTCCCTCTCTCTGTTTTTCTCCAGCAAGTGTATGTGCCTTATCTACAGCAAAAATTCAGTAAATAAATAAACAAACAAAAATTTAAAAAGGGTGCAACTGGGACCAGCAGTTAGTGTAATGGCTATGTCGCTGGACTCCCATGTAATCGACCGCGGTTCATGTCCCGGACCCGGTGGCTTAAACTTACGCCGGGCGCGTGTGCGTGCGTGCCCAAGATCCCGAGAAGAGAATGGAGGAGAAGGGATTGCAGTGTGGCCATCCCCCCTGGGGGGTGATTTCTTGCTTTCTGTCTCTCTGTCTCTCTCTGTCTGTCTGGTGAGTGCATGCACCCTACAGTGAAAATCTCTCCAAAAAGAAAAAAAAAAAAAAGGGGTGCATCTGACACCAGCGTGCTCTGACGGAGATGGGTAGCCCCTGGCCTCACACACAGGAACTTAGGGGGCACGAGGAGGTGACTAACCAGAGGTCACTGGCAGAAAGCTGTCCCCTGGACAGGAATAGTCCAGGGACTATGGGTAAAAAGAGTCTCGGTCTCGGTCAGAGCGAGCCGGCATCAGTTACACCCTTTTAAAATGTTTATTTGTTTATTTATTTACTGAATTTTTGCTATAGATAAGGCACATGCGCTTGCTGGAGAAAAACAGAGAGAGGGAAAGTGAGAAATCCTCCCCCGGGGTGGGGCGGTGGCCATGCTGCAGTCCCTTCTCCTC